TGCCCCTGGAGCAGGGCACGGCGTCTTCTCGGGGCTCCTCGGCCAGCGAGGGCAGCCGGGGCGGGCCCCCTCCCCGCCCACCACCCCGACAGAGTCTCCAGGAGCAGCTGAACGGGGTCATGCCCATCGCCATGAGCATCAAGGCGGGCACGGTGGACGAGGACTCGTCAGGCTCCGAGTGAGTGTGGCCGGGGGAGCGGGACGGGGTACAGAGGCCCCGGCTGGGCTCGGAGCTCCCCAGCCGGCTCTGGTTGGCAGTCAGAGGACGAACGGGCGGAGTGTGGCCCAGCTCCCTCACGGTGACGTGCCCACAAACCACAGTGCCCTTTGGGCATCGGGCAGAGCGGGAGGGTGGGGAGCTGGGCTGCTTTTCTGTTTCCTTCTTCTGGTGGAAGCTTCTCGCTGTCTGCTCTGCTCCGACTAACCCTCCGTCTGCCTTTTCTGTCGCTTCCTTTCCTGCCTCTCCAGATTCCTCTTCTTTAACTTCCTGCATTAACCCTGGGCCGGTGGTTCCCACACCCCAGGCTCCCTTGCCTTCCCCAGCGGCACTCATGCCCCACTCCTGTCTTGTGCTTTATCCTGCCCCCGCTCCCCGCCGCCCGCCGCCTGCCCGCAGCAGCGATGAAACGTCCATCTGAGGAGCCTGGGCCTTGCCGGGAGGGGCACCCCCCCCAAGGCCATCTAGTGCCAACTCCCTCCCCCACCAGCCCCTCACTGCACTTTGGACCCCTGGGGCCAACATCTCCAAGACAAAGTTTTTCAGAAAAGAGGAAAAAAAAAAATTTAAAAAAGGATCTCCACTCTCATGACTTCAGGGATTAATTTTTTTTATATGCTGGAAACTGACTCCCCATTCCCTTCCCAAAGAGGATAGGACCTCCAGGAGGCTCCCAGCCTCTCCTCGGTTTCCCATCTGCTGTGCCTCTGGGAGGAGAGGGACTCTTGGGGGGCCTGCCCCTCATTTGCCATCACCAAAAGGAAAGGACGAAGCCACACGCACCCAGGGTGCCGAGCCCGGCAGGTGCCCCGGGCCCGCCTGGGCCGCCCCTCCCAGGAACTGAAGAAGCCCGTCTGGAGAGGGAGCCGAAGGACTCGGCGCCCCCGGACCCCCAAATGCTGCATGAACACATTTTGAGGGGAACCCGTGCCCCGGGCGGCGGCCGGGCCACCCCTGCTCCTCTCCTTTTCCTGGACTCGGCCACTCGCTGCAGCCCAGGCGTTTGCTCAGTTCGCTGACCCAAAAGTGCTTCATTTCCCTGCCAGACCCGCACGCCCCGCGGGGAAGGCCAGTCACGTTCAGTTGCGCTTCTTTGCTGTCGTGTGGGTGGGATGGGGAGAAGAGTGAATACAGTGCTGGCTCAGTCGCTCCCAGCATCGGCCTCAAGTCTGGGTTCTGGGGTCCTCCCAAGATCAGGCCGACCCCACTCAGCTGCTGTGGCCTCTGAGACATGTTCTAGTTTTAACCCCTTCTGGGAATTGGCTCTCTTCTTCAAAGGACCAGGTCCTGTTCCTCTTTCTCCTTCTCCCCCCACCCCAGCTCCCTGCGAAGAGAGAGTTAATATATATTTTTTATTTATTTGCTTTTTTTGTGTGTGTGTGGGGATGGGTTGGTATCCGGTCCCAGGGGGTCTGATGTGGCTGTTACAGGTTGGGTGTGTGCCCCGCAGTCCTGGCATGGGGCCCAAGGCCCTTCCCCTTGCTCCAGGCTGTCATCTCCCTGCCCCTCCTCCCCCTCCTCAGTTTTGCCAACTGCTACTCATGTGAGTCACCGTTTCTGCTAAGCATGTAATCCAGACTTGTCATGGACTTGCCTCTGGAGCAGGTGAAAAAGCTCCCGTTTCTCATGTGTAAGGCTGGTCTCTGGCTTTCCTGCCCCGGTTTCTCCCCTCTCCCCTCAGTCATTCCTGCAAAGGGTTAAACATGTCACTGGTTTTCACTACTGATGACTTGACTTAAAAAAATACAGATGCTGGATGCTAACTTGACATTAACCATCAGATTGTACAGTTTGTTACTGTAAATATCGTAGGGTTTTGTGCTTGTTTTTGTTGTTTTATTTTTTCCATTTTCCCATACTACTGAATAAACTAGTTCTGTGCGGGTTGAGCACTGTCGTTATTGCTTCGGTGCGGTGCTCATCTTTCTGGCCTTTAAAAATAAGAGCAGGCAGGACCGGGAGGCCAGGGAATCAGACAAGTGGCTGGTGAGACTAGACTCGCTGCCAATATCCCAGCATGCTCCCCAGACAGCCTCATCAACACAGGGCCCATGCCCCGGCATGTCCAAGGAAGATGTGGCGGGAAAGTTTCATTTTCGCCAGAAGGGACTTGTGTCGCTGGAGAGGAGGCTGGCGGAGCAGGCAGGTTTCCAGCCCAAACCCCCAGGGCTTGCACCCTGTGGGCAGAATTCAGGAGACTGGGAGGGCAGAGTTGAGAGGCTGATGGGAATTTCAAGGTGCTTAGTGACAGGGCACCTCCTAACGCTACTTCTCTGGTCCACTTTGTGTGTTTATTTCCCAATGGAAATGAAGCAGCTGCTCATACTCCAAGACAACCGTGTCCTCCACGACATTTCTTCTGTCCCCAAGTTTTGTGTTTTTCAAAGGTCTGTTTAACAAATGAGGTGGGGGGCAGTTAAGGGTGGTGATGAAGAACACAATCCCAGGCCCTGGCGGGGTAGCTCCCTTGGTTAGAGCATTGTCCTGATATGCCAAGGTTGTAGGTTCAATCCCCTGGTCAGGGTACATACAAGAAGCAACTAATGGATGCAGCAGATCAGTGCTTCTCTCCTTCTCTCTCTCTCTCTCAAGTCAATAAATAAAAAAATTTTTTTAAAGGAACACAAACCCAAGAACTGGATTGAGTGGCTTCATCTCTCAGCCTTAGTTTCTCTGCCTGCAAAATGAGGATGATAATAACATCTGCCTAATTGAGCTTTTATGAGAATTAAATGCGTTAACACACACAAAGTGCTTAGAACCGTTCACGGTGCATAGCAAGAGGTCCATAAACGTTGGTTTCCCTTGTTCCTACTGGGTGGGGGCAGGGGTGGATGCATAGAGACAAACAGAAAGCCAGACCAAAGGGAAGGAAGCAGGTAGCTGACCAAGGACTGCTGTGGCAGGCAGGCCTCCTCCCTAGTTGGCACTGCCTACTAGGTTCAAGCAGATTTGGAGGGGGTTGGGGTGGGGGTGGGGATAAAACTCAGGACTGACCAAGAGGGCCAGAGGAACATGCCGTGTCCTCTCTGGCCACCAGGTGGCAACAGCACATGGGTTTGCTGCTGCTTTTGCTTCTAAGAACCCAGCATGGCGTGGCCCATGCCCAGGTCACACCTGCCATTTGCCGGCCACACCCACACCTATGTGCGTGCCTAGTCTTGCACTCTTCCAGTGCTTCTGTCAGAGCGGGCAGTGAGGACCAGACCCTGCTCACTAGACCCCAGTGCGGAGCCCAGCTGGGAAGCACATGTGTTCTGGCCACCAAATTTCTCCGGAGTCAAAGGCTCAGTGTGTCTCCACATCGCCTCCCCCAACGCCATTCTGGGAACCCTAGAGTTGTTGCAAGAGTTGTTACAAGAGGCTGAGGGAAAGGTGAAGGTCTAGACAGCTGTCACTGTGATAGAGGTGAATGTGTGAAAAGAGCCTGGCGATCGGCCATAAACAAGGAGAAAGCAGCTGAGGGCCCCTGGCCTGGGAACAGAGAAAGGGCATTGCAATACCTCAGTTGGGCACTTATGTGCACATAAACCTGGGCAGGGTGGGCACCAGCTGGCATCCATGTCCTGCACCCAGTTGCCTGTTGCTTCAAGTCATGGCCTGGCCTTCAAGAAGGGGCATTCTTGCCCTAACCGGTTTGGCTCAGTGGATAGAGCGTCGACCTGTGAACTGAAAGGTCCCAGGTTCGATTCTGGTCAAGGGCATGTACCTTGATTGTGGGCACATCCCCAGTAGGTGGTGTGCAGGAGGCAGCTGATATGTTTCTCTCCTATCAATGTTTCTAACTCTCTATCCCTCTCCCTTCCTCTCTGTCAAAAAATCAATAAAATTTATTAAATTTAAAAAAGGGGGCATTCTCTCAAAACTCGCAAGGAATTGAATTGCTTCTGGTTGCAAAATCAAAGGCTGTGAGAAGAGGGAGACTATTAAATCTGCTCTAAATGAGTCTTTGTCATTCATTGAACTACTGCCCCCTTGCTCTCAGATATCTTTTTCAACAAAGGAATGAAATTCTCCGCCACATACAAGTCACAACCCTGGACACTGCAGGGGCTTATACACCCTGGTGCCAGCCCTGGAGTCCAGTAGAGATAAGAGGAGACCAACAACCCTAATGAAGTAAAAGGGAACGTGAAGTGTCCTGGTATCTTCTGCCTGAGGCAGTCAGGGAGGCTGAAGACTCGTAAGTGCCCCTCAGCCCATAAGTACAGCAGACAGGATTCTGCTCCATTCTCCTGTCCTGAAGGGACACCCAAGTTTAATATATAAATACTTGTCCTAGCTCGTTTGGCTCAGTGGATAGAGTGGCAGCCTGTGGACTGAAGGTTCCCTGGTTCGATTCCGATCAAGGGCACATGCCCTGGTTGTGGGCTCAATCCCCAGTGGGAAGTGTGCAGGAGGCAGCCAATCAATGATTCTCTCTCATCACTGATGTTTCCCTCTCTCTCTTCCTTCTTCTCTGAAATCAATAAAAATATATTTAAAATGTAAATACTTTATCGAGACCTTGACTTGACAGCCTCGCACACTGTGAATTAAGCTCTACTTAACTTGACCTGGACCTTTTAATAACATTCAAACCCTTGGAAAAGGCAGCCTGCTTCCAGCTAATACCAACAAGGGGGTAGTTACAGCCTGATTCGCTGGAATCTCGAGGCCCTAGGGCCTATTCAGGCTCCTCCGCCTGGGAAGCCCATCCTGGCTCCCTCTTTGGAATTACACAGGTGTTCACTCTAAATGTGTTAGAAACTGGAGCAGGATTTGCTTTCACATACGCAGAGAATATAAAAATACACTCACTTTATTTTAGAAAAGTATAGACCAAAGGAGTCAGTTTATCATAAACTGGCCTGTTACGATTCACAGAATTCACAGGAAGCAAGTTCCGGAGGCCAGGTGCCTGCCTCTGCTTCGCCAAACAGGCCGGAGTCCAGTAGGGGATGTGATACAGGAGGACTGCTCCTGGGAGAGCAGGGAGGTCAGCGACAGAGGCCATTCCCATGTTCATGCCCAGTGACCCTCAGCCTGGGGATGAACACAGAGTGGGGGTGGATGAGGACAACCCACTTCTCATCTGTTTGTTCATTTCACTGCTGGGAGGTGACTTCTTTTCCCTAATATTCCAATCTGGAGAGTTTGAATCCCCTCCAGCTCCACCCTAATCCACCCCATCTCCCTGGGCACCAGCCGTGGTGGCATCTCTTCCTCTTGCCCCGGAGCCAGAATCTGCAGGAGTCCGGAACTGCCTCCAATGCGAGGGCTTGGGAGGCCGGAGAGGAGGCGAGTCCAGGCAGGGACTGTCGTGGTTGGTTACTGAATTCTTGCTTGCTGTCCTGATCTCTTTACCTAAAGAGACAGCAGAAGGAGGAAGTGCTGGATTGCCCTTCTTCCTCGAGCCCATGTCACCCAGCTGAGCTCAAGTTTCTCAGGAAGAAACGGGACACCCCAACTTCCAGGCTCCCCTCCTCTCCGCCATCTTGCCACACAGGATTCAGGGCTGATGCACCCAAAAGCTCAGAAGCCCAGAGGACAGAGGAGAGAGAGAGCACCCTAACCAGCCTTACCTGGTAGGTGCTGGGGCTGCAGCCTTCCGGGGTGGCTGCAGATGGCTGCGAGTGGCACCAGGAAGATTTGGTCGCTGGGAAACAGGAACTTGATTTGGGCCCACAAAAGAAATGGGTTATCAGAAAGGTCAAGTGACCGCCTCACAAAGATCAACACTGGATGAAGGCAGGGTGAGTTTTGGATTAGTGCTTTCCCTCTCACCCAAGGTAAAAACATTTGAAAGGTATTTGAAAACAAAGGCTCAAACTCTTGGTCCAGTCCCACATTCTCTTCAAACTCACCATCTTCAAATAGAGTTGTAACGAAGATGGAGAAAGTGGTCACTGTTACTAGCTCTGGGAGAGTGCAGAGCTGGCCGAGGGTAGGTATTCTTACTCCTAACTTCCTGTCCGATGTCCGTTCCTCCTTACCTCTGTGCCCTGCAGCACCTGGTCTTGGAAGTCCTTTCCGAGTTGACACTGAATCTGAAGCTAGGGCACCTCTGCTGGGTGGTACACTCCGGCTGCTGAGTGGCACTCGGCTGACAGGCTTGGGGATGGCTGAGGGGACAGGTAGTCGACTGGAAGGTTTAGCAGCTGCTCCCTGTGGCCGAGACAGGCGCTGACAGTTGCTGGTAGAAGGCTGTGGGGCCAAGACCGGTCTGACGGGGATTGGCGGGCCTGGGGCAGAGGGATATTAGGGTAAGCTCCACATCCTCCCTCTTCCCATTTACCCCCAGCTTTGCTCCCTGGGTCCTCGCACTTGCTGTTGCTCTCCCACTGGGCCCAGCTTTCCCCCGGGTTGGAGGAGTTGATCGGGCTGGAGGAGTTGATCGGGTTGGAGGAGTTGATCGGGCTGGAGGAGTTGATCGGGTTGGAGGAGTTGATCGGGCAAGAGGAGAAGATGCTGGGCTTTTGGATGTGGGGAACAGATTGCAAGTGGGCGACTCCTGAAACACACAGAGAGAGAGGGGAAAAAAAAAAAAGCTAAAATGGAAAAAGAATCTGTTCTGCTGGCTGAGGGATGGAGGTGGAGAGTTGCCTAGATCCCAGTAAGGAAGGGCAGCAGCTAGCTGCTAACTTCATCACCACCACCACCATTTATTGAGAGCTTATGATAGACGTTATAGAGTTCTGCACAGACACAGTGGAAAGTGCATGGCTTATGGTATCTCATTTAATTCCAACAATTCTGTGAGGTAGAATTTCACTATCCCCATTTTCCCAACAAGGAGCCACTCTATGCCTGAACTGTGTCTGGGGCCACACATCCAACCCAGAGCCGCTACACTCACCCTCTTCCCACTGGAGGGCTTCTTTCCAGATGCTGCCCGAAGAGCCCTGGCGGACCCCTTCCTATCGCTGCCCCGGAGTCGGGGTGTCAGGCTGCTTGGAGAGGGGGTGCTCCGAGCGGAAGAGCTCACAGTGGGCAGCAGGTCTCGGACAGGACTGTCCTTCAGCACAAAGGTCTCCCTCCGCGGGCTGGGCTTCACCCTGCGCGGCCCCGGGCTCTCGCCTGCCCTCTCGCGCTCCTGCAGGGCGCACTGCTCCAGCTGCGCCGCCAGCCTGTTGGCCTCATCGAGGACCTCTTCCATCTTCGCTGGGCTGAGGCGGCCTAAGCTGAACCTCACGCCCTGGGGGGTGGGGGCCACTGCATTGAGGTCGCCCCGGTGGGAGAGGCCCCGCCGAAGGGGTTTCTCTGGAGTTGCCAACACTGGTATGTCTTCCTCCTCACGACTGAGACAGAAAACAAACCAGTCACCACACAGAGGAGAGCAGGAGTCTGCGACACAGCAGAGCCAGGGACACAACCCCAAACCCCAATGCCCATGCTGGCCTCTAGGTGCTGAGACACCTGCTTCCGTGAAGCCTAAGAGGCCGTTAGCATTTACTGGCATTGGAGATCACTCGGGGATGAGGATGCAGCGAATCCACTTACCCTTCTTAACACCCTGCAACCTCATTCCAGCTTCTCCCTTCTCCCCTTGCCCAGTAATGGTGTCTTAGGGGCCCAAGCAAACCAGTCACCAGCCGCCCCAGTGCATCCCAACTTGGTAAATTACCAACCCAGGCCCCAGAGGCCAAAAATTCAGCGGGGGGGGGGTTAGAACAGAAGCATCATTGGAGGAAAGTAAGCAGCATAAAGAAAGAGGCTGGTACCTGTCCGATGGTGACAGCCCTCCGAAGTCCAAGGTCTCATCCACTATAAACTTTACATCTGCAGGGGAGGGAGGAATGAATGCCCGTTGTGGGTCCCTAAGGTGCTCCCAATTGCAGGGTCTCAATCTTCCCTTCCGGATGTCCTTACCTTCCTGCAAATCGCCCATGTTCCAGCCCGCAGGAGCAGCACGCAGCTTGGACCTGAAGTGGAGACAAAGCACACCTTTCCTCGGGTCTCCATCCTGCCCAAGGCTCCCGGCTAGACTCAGAGCGCCAGCCAGGGGTCACGCTGCCATCAAGCAAGCGTCCCAGGAGGAGCACCTGCACGGGTTCACCGCCGTTACCTCCGGGGACGGTGCGGAGAGCTCCCCCTACACCCTTATCGCCCTCCGCAGATGGCCCTCCCGCCCCCTGCGAGCCCGCCTCTCCGCGTTGGGGGCGCTCTACGCGCCCATATTCCTCCCACCCACCGTCCTGCGGGCTCTTCCTCTCCCCAAGCCACCTTTCCACGCCCCGCGGGAGCACACCCGCAGCCTACCGCGAGCTCTCACTTCCCGCCCCGTCGCATCTCCCGCGGACGGAGCTTTCCTCCCACCACTTAGTCCCGGGAATCAGCTCCGAGGGGGCGGGGCTCCTTTCGAATCTCTCAGGCCCCACCCACTCCGACCACACGCGTGCAGTGATTGGCGGATCCCGGCGTCCTCAGCCCTCGGGGGGCGGGGCGGCGGCGGGCAGCTGGCCGGAAGTCTACAAGTTGGGGGCGGGCTGGAGAGCGGTTCCCAGAAAGACTCCATCCGGGGGTCTGCGGCGGGGACGCCGGGAGCGCGCACTCGTGCGCCTGGAGGTCTTCGCGCGACCTGGAGTGTGGGGTTTGCCCCTCGTCACCCCCTCTTTTCCGCCTCCTCCTCGTTTTGCTTGGCGGAGCGGGGGCTGCGGCTCCCGGGACCCGCGCGGTCACCTGACGCCCCTCGCGGCTGTGGGCCGAACGCTCCGCCTGAGGAAATTCGTTTCCTTGGGCTCCCGCCACATGCCCGCGCCGCTTTTGCCAGATTTCCTCAGGGTTGACCTTTCGTGCTTACGGAAACACCTAAACATCCGTAATTTAGGTATGTTGAGGTTGTCAGAGGAGGACAGGCAGCTGCCACGGCTTTTAAAGCAGGAACGTTCACAGAGCCTAAGGCAGCCAAGGTGTGACGACAGCACAGGGAGCGTGGTCCGCGGTGTAACTGTAGGGGGCCGGGTGGGACTAGACTAACCGGGAAGGCTCACCTCATCTCTCTATATAAAAGCCTAAGTGGCCGGTCCACCAGTCGCTATGACGCGCACTGACCACCAGGGGGCAGAAGCTCACCGCAGGAGCTGCCCCCTGGTGGTCAGTGTCCACCCACAGAGGGAGCGCCGTCAGCCAGAAGCCTGGCTCACAGCTGGCGAATGCAACTGAGGCCGCGGAGCCTCTCCCGACTCCGCAGCAGTGGTACCCAGCCCGGTGCTACCGAGCAGCTGGCCAGATAAGCCTGAGTGGCCCAACGCCGGCTCAGGCTCCTCCCTGGCTGCCTGTCGCTTGGCGCACTGCTACATCCCTCAAGGGATGTCCGACTGCCAGTTTAGGCCCTGTCCCCATCTATACTAAAATGGCAATATGCAAATTAACCGTCACTCTGCGACAAAGATGGGACACTTGGCTTCCTTCAGGCGGGATGCTTGGCTTCCTTTGTTGCCCCGGCCGCCGAGAGCCGGTCTCTGGGTGGTGGCCGTGGAGCCGACCTGAGCTGGTGGGAGGCAGCTCCCGCCGGAGCAAAGGCAGGAGGCAACTCTGGCCCAGAACAAAGGTAGAAGGCGGTGGCCAGAGCGAAGGCCCGGGTCCTGGGTGCTGGAGGGAAGCCAGTGCCGGCAACAAAGGGGAAGGAAGGCCTATTGCACGAATCTTTGTGCATCAGGCCTCTAGTATGTATATATATGAAAACTGGCAGTCAGACATCCCCCCAGATGGTGAGGGGGTGAGGCCAAGCTGAGGGACCCTGCACAAATCCGTGCACCGGGCCTCTAGGAAGTTATATAAATATCTAACCACCATGCTATACACCTGAAACTAATAATATTGAATGTGCATTGTAATTGAAAACTAAAATAATTCAAAAAATAAAAAGTGATGGAAAAGAAAAAAAGGGGGGGGGCTTTAACGACAGGGAGAATTAGGTTCAAATTCAGTGCTGACTCCTGGGTGTACATGGGAGGCAGGCTTGAGCCTCTTTTTCTATTTGGCCCCTGGGTTTTCTGTGAAGGGAAGATCCTGACAGTGATATGATTCAGAGCATAATTATGAATATCAGGTTTTACTCCATGTGCCTGGGAGCTTTTGAGGGGGTTTGTAACTTTCTCCCTCTAAACTCAAGGCTGTGTTCATAAACCCCTGAAGCCTCCTTATTAGGGGTTTTCTCTCTGTTGTTTCCAGATGTTGCCTGGGAATAGACGGGGCCACAAGTCAACAGAGCTTCTCAGAAATGTTCTAAAGATTTTTGTCCTAAAAGTGGCCAGAGAGCTTTCCTGTAAACCAGGGGTGGGGAACCTTTTTTATGACCAAGGGCCAGTTGATATTTATAACATCATTCCCGGGCCATGCAAAAGTATCCACTTAAAAATTAGCCTGGTGTATTTTGTCAAACATTTAATTAACTCGCCCTTAATGCCTTGGCAGGGCCAGACCAAATGATTTCAGGGGCCTTATGCCCGGCCGTGGGCCAGCCGTCCTCCCCCCCCCCCCCCGCCTCCCCACCCCTCCCCTGCAAAGAGTCTGAACTTGAGTCTCCAGCACTTGTGGCCATCATTTGGGCCATTTGTGGGCTATTTTTTTTTTTTTTCTCCTTCCTGGTTTTCAGTGCTACAGTTGAGATGGTGAGGTTTGCAGGAATGAGATGTTGCTGTAAAAAAATGCCACAGGGAGCAAAGGAACCTTGGAATTTAATGGCGTGACCAGGGAAAGGGTGGGGAGGCTCAGAACCTGCAAGCTTAGGTGAGGAAGACCTGAGAGAGGAGGATGGCTTCTTCTCCCCAGGTTTGTGGGTGAATGTGGGATTTTAGTTGCTTGTAGGATTCAGGTTCTGTGGAGGTGGGGAAGCCAGAACCAGATGCCTCCCTCTCTCCGTGGCAATGTAGAGATTTGGAGGAAAGAAGCTGTTAATTAACTGTACTTTTTTCTTCCCCTAGGAACAGCCTGGGTGGGGAAACGCTGCACTTACTTCTTCACCCACCTTCAGGTAAGCGGGGGAAGCAGTTTTAGCAAATTGGAAGTTAGTGTCTCCTAAGGAAACTCATCTTCAATTTTTTATCGCCGAATGATGATTTTGAAAGCTCTCCCTGGAGCACGTCTGCCTTTCCCTCCCCCCATGCATTAGTTACCATTACCTTCCTCACTCCCAAGCTCCAAGAGCCCTTCCTTTATCTCTATAACTTGTTTCCTAAGCCCATTTCTTCTAGGAGTTACTTTTCTAGCTCTGTGATTTTACAAATAAATGTTCTCTTATTGAAAACAAAACAAAAACAATGGAACTACTTTCTCTTTCAAATGACAACAAAGTCAGAAAAACAGATTTTAGGTACAATCGGCATAAAGCTACTAATCAGGGAACTATTTGTCTCCCTCAACCCCAAATGGTATATATATATGAACAGGTGGATAAATAATAAATAAGTGAATTAATGAAGAAATTACACCCCCTTCCAGACACATGGTAGGTCTTCATTCAGAAGGCACTCCACAGTGTTGAATGCATAAATGAAGAAATTAAGGGTTCCATTCCAGTTCTCCTTGAATGCAGAAAGAGTAACTATGACTGCGGGTCTTATTCAGTGTGCAGATTTTATTTCTTCACCATGAAGGTTAAGAATGTATGAACTTTAAGGCATAGCCCTTGAGCATTTTAACAAACAGCAGAGGCATGGGGCTGTGGGCTAAGGCCAGAGGTCTGGCTGATCCTGAGGGCATCATTGCTGCGCATTCACTCCTTCCTGACCTAGGCCCTGCTTGGTTGGAGCTCCCCCTTGGCCATTGTTACATGACTAGTTGGCTCTGGTCTCTGCCCCTCACCCCCAACAGTCTCAGCAGGGATTACGTGCATTAGACCCTACAAATGATCTCTGTGACTGTTTTCTCAGTTTTCTCAAGGATGGTACATAAGCAGTCATATTCTAGATACATAGGAAGAAGTTAATTTATAATAGACCATGGATGCCTTGGGGCATTAGCACTTAATTCCCATAGAACTTCAGTTGAGAGAGGCTGGCATAGATACTTTGCCTCAACTTAAAATAGACCTTCGATCTGAACAGAAAAGGCTTTCACACTCCTCTCAGCAATACATCTCCTTCCTCCTCAAAACCTTGCCTAATATTTACTAGGTCCTGGAAATCTTTTCTTTCTTAAGCCCATACCTGCTACAGTGAGGATCACTGAGTGAAAGAGGTGAAGGAAAATAGGGAAGGCTCCAGCTCAAACACACCTGGTTCAAATGCTAGCTCTGCTCCTACCACCTGCATACTTGGAACAACTTATGAGCTTCAGTTTACTCATTTATTAAATGAATATTAAAGAGACAAAGCTCTTAGTTCCATGACTGCTGCATAGAAGGCTATTTGCGTTATATATACAGTGGGGCAAACGTAGATTTACGGTTGTTCATATGGAAAAGAATACAATAATAACAATACAAGAATAAACTGTTTTGCATACTCACAACTATAAAGCTACTTTTGCCCCACCCTATTACTGTATGTAACAAACCACCCCAATATTCAGTGGCTTGAAAAAAAGCAGCCATGTATCTGCTCATGATTTAATTTGGGCAGGACTCTGCAGGGACAACTAGTCTCTACTCCACAGGGAGTAGACTGGGCTTGACTATGGCTGAAGGGTCCAAGAGTCTTGGTGTCTAGAGCCTTGTTACTGTCTGTCAGCTAGGGTTTGGTTGTCCTATATGTGACCTCTAATAATTCCGTAATCTATCCTGAAATTCTTTACATGGGAGCCAACTTGCAAAAACAAACAGAAACTACTAGACTCCTTAAGGTCTAGAACTGTTCCAGCATCATTTCCGCTGCATTCTTTTAGTCAGAGCAGGTTGCATAGTCAGCCCAGATTCAGAGGAAGAGAAATAGATGCCAACTCTTTTTTTTTTTTTAAATGATTTTAGAAAAAGAGAGAGGAAGGGAAGTAGGGAGGGAGATAGGAAGGTGAGAGTGAAGGAGGTCGGGGGGTTGGGGAGAGAAGAGAGAGAGAGAAAGAAACAGAGAAACATCGATTTGTTGTTGAAAGAGGAGTCTGTTCCACTTACTCATGCATTCATTGGTTGATTCTTGTATGTATCTTGACTGGGGATCGAACCCACAACTTTGGCATTGGGATGATGCTCTAACCAATTGAGCTACCCAACCAGGGCAATGCTAACTCTTGATCACCATGCCCAACCTAGAATGGGAGGAATTGTTGCTGTCTTTTGCAGATTCCATCACAGAATGCCTTTAATATGTTATTTGTTAGAAGAATAAAAACAAATGTAAGCAAGAACACCTCACTTTAATTCTTTCCCTGGGGCT